CCCAGCCTGACGCCCTATGGGATAGGGGCGCTTACCCATGCCAGCCTCCAGGGGACTAGAATCTCTCGGGACAGCTCACGAGCCAAACTAGATTGAGTCCACCCCTTGCTGCTTTCGCCTTGGCAGGGGGTGGGGGGCCTACCCTGCGCCCCTGTTGGCCTTTGACCTGCCCCCAGGCCCCTGGGGAAGGAGCAGGCTGAAGCCCCAGGCCCCCGCAGCTGCACGGGCTGCTGACCCTCACCGCCTGGTGCCTCTGTGCAGCCGTGCAGCGCATCGCCGAGTCTCACTTGCAGTCCATCAGCAACGTGGGCGAGAACCAGGCCTCGGAGGAGGAGGATGAGCTGGGGGAGCTGCGGGAGCTGGGATACCCCCGAGAAGAGGACGAGGACGAGGATGAGGACGAGGACGAGGAGGAAGAGGAAGAAGAGGACAGCCAGGCTGAAGTCCTGAAGGGCGGCAGGGGGTCCGGTGAGCTGGAGGCGCTGAGGGGGCCCCGCTCGGTGGGTTAGGTGCAGATGCCCCCTGAGTGCCCAGTGACGAGCCCCCCACCCCAGTGTCTCCCACTGCAACCCGCAGGGACCCCGCAGGGGCCTGCATCCGCTCACTGCACAGCAGCCTCATGGTGGGCCTGGGCTGGGACCTGGGCTTCCTCCACCCTCGCTCTGCCCTCGCCCAGCCTGGCTTTCCCTAATGACTCCTCTCCTCCCTAGGCATTGGGCAAGGCCACATGAGGTTTGAGGCTGGACCCCAAAAAGGACTTCCCACCCAAGGAGTGAGAGGTGGGGGAAATTCATGCCTAGACAAGTGAGAGAGCCCAGCATCCTCATAGCCCACGTTTCTTTTTGGTTTTGGTTTTATTATTTTTTTAAAGATTTATTTATTTATTTGAAAGAGTTACACAGAGAGAGGAGAGGCAGAGAGAGAGAGAGAGAGAAGTCCTCCATCCGCTGGTTCACTCCCCAGATGGCCGCAACAGGCGGAGCTGTGCCGATCTGAGGCCAGGAGCCAGGAGCTTCTTCCGGGTCTCCCACGCGGGTGCAGGGGCCCAAGGACTTGGGCCATCCTCCACTGCTTTCCCAGGCCATAGCAGAGAGCTGGACTGGAAGTGGAGCAGCCGGGACTCGAACCAGCGTCCATATGGGATGCCGGTGCTTCAGGCCAGGGCATTAACCTGCTTCGCCACAGCGCCGTCCCCGGTTTTGGTTTTATTTTAAGATTTATTTATTTGAGTCGGTGCCGCGGCTCAATAGGCTAATCCTCCACGTAGCGGCGCCGGCACACCGGGTTCTAGTCCTGGTCGGGGTGCCTGATTCTGTTGCGGTTGCCCCTCTTCCAGTCCAGCTCTCTGCTATGGCCCAGGAAGGCAGTGGAGGTTGGCCCAAGTGCTTGGGCCTTGGGAGATCAGGAGAAGCACCTGTCTCCTGCCTTCGGATCAGCGCGGTGCGCTGGCCGCAGTGCACCAGCCGTGGCGACCATTGGAGGGTGAACCAATGGCAAAAGGAAGACCTTTCTCTCTGTCTCTCTTTCTCACTATCCTCTCTGCCTGTCCAAAAAAAAAAAAAAAAAAAAAAAAACGGGTTTTTTTTAAAAGGAGAGTGAAAAAAAAAAAGAGTGACTTCCCATTTGCTGGTTCCTGCCCCAAATGACTGTCATAGTCTGATCTGGGCCAGCCTAAATCCAGGAGCCAAGAACTCCATGTCCAGCTCTCTGCTATGGTCTGGGAAAGCAGACCATAGAAGATGGTCCAAGTCCTTGGGCCCCTTCATCCACGTGGGAGACCCAGAAGAAGCTCCTGGCTCCTGGCTTCGGATTGGCTCAGTTCTGAGAGTGAACCAGCAGATGGAAGATCTCTCTCTGCTGCTGCCTCTCTGTAACTCCTCCTTTCAAATAAGAACTCCATTGGGCTCTCCCACATGAGTGGCGAGGCCCAAGTACTTGGGCCATCTTTCACTGCCTTCCCGGTGGGAATGCTAGGAGGAAGTGGAGCAGCGGGGACCTGAACCGGCACTCCAGCATGGGATGCCGGCATCGCAAGCAGCAGCTTAACCTGCTGCACCGCAACACCGGCCCTCACCTGCATGTCTGAACCTAGGATGTGGTCTCTGCTGGGACCCAAGGTTGCCAAGCAGCTGGTTTGTGTCTCTAGGATCCCATGGCTATTTCTCCCTCCTCTTCTTCCATAGGATGGGGTAGGAGGGTGCCCTCTAGTGTCCAGATTTAGCATCTAGGACTCAAGAACCAACCTGGTCCCCTGCACATCCAACCTTAGTTGCCTGGGAAGAAAGGGACCAGGCCCAGTAGGTCTCAGATCTAAGACTCCCCACAGGGGCCTGAGGCCCAGAGAGGCCCTGGGAGGAAGAGCTCATCCCTTGATACGGTTGTGTCTTCCGCGTCTGGCCGTGGAAGACTCTGCCACACTTATCCCTCCCAACGTGTGTTCAACTTTTTGGCCCCATGATTTACGGGAACGACCGCCCTTGCTTGACGTTCTCACGATGGCTGGGGCCTCCGCTCTGTGCCTCTGGTGGTGAGGGCATCAGCTTTTGCTGCCAGCCGCAAGGGCAGAGTTGGAAGTGCTGAGTCAGCTCCCATGAGGCCCTCAGCCTGGTGGCAAGGAGGTGAGAGGAGACTGCACCTCAGGACAGGCAGCAGGGCACTGGGTCAAATGACAGGACTGAGCTGTGGAACAGCATGAGCCAGCACCACTCCACGGCGGCTCCCGAGTGCTGGTGCAGGCTGGACAGGAATTAATGCCACTTAGAGTCATCAACACAGCTGCCTTCCCGCTAACTCCTTCAGAAGGTACCAGCTGACATGACTTTTTAAGGTTTATTTATTTGAAAGGCAAAGTTACAGAAAGAGGAAGAGAGAGAGAGATTTTCCATCTCTGTCTCATTCCCCAAATAGCCACAACAGCCAAGACTGGGCCACGCTGAAGCCAGGAGCCTGGAACTCTATCTGGGTCTCCCATGAGGGTGCAGGGGCCCAAGCACTGGGGCCATCTTCCTCTGCTTTCCCAGGCCACAGCAGAGCTGGATCAGAAGTGGAGCAGCTGGGAATCGAACCAGTGCCCGTATGGGATGCCAGTTTCACAAATGGTGGTTTGGCCGGTGCCACGGCTCACTTGGCTAATCCTCTGCCTGCGGTGCCGGCACCCCAGGTTCTAGTCCCGGTTGCTCCTCTTCCAGTCCAGCTCTCTGCTGTGTCCCGGGAAGGCAGTGGAGGATGGCCCAAGTGCTTGGGCCCTGCACCGGCATGGGAGACCAGGAGGAAGCACCCTGGCTTCGGATCAGTGCTGCGCACTGGCTGTAGCAGCCATTTGAGGAGTGAACCAACGGAAGGAAGACCTTTCTCTCTGTCTTTCTCTCTCACCGTCCAACTCTGCCTGTCAAAAAAAAAAAAAAACCAAAAAACAAAAAACAAAAAACAAAAAAACAAGTGGTGGTTTAATGCACTGCACCACACCACCAACCCCTCAACTGACATGTCTAAGTCACATAGCTCAGGATGCACACGGTGATGCCAAGAGCTGACCTGGTCCAATGCCCGCTCTACTATGCCAGGATGCCCTCAGAAAGTGTAGTCTCAGCCATCAGGGGGCCTGAGCTCATGATCCAGGACATCAGACGTCTACTCAGAGCCCGTGTGTCCCCTCTTTCCCATCCTCAGTCGAGCAGAAGACATCCTGTGGCCAGGGTCTGGAGGGGCCCTGGGAGCGCCCACCTCCTCTGGATGAGCCCCAGAGAGATGGAAGTTCTGAGGACCAAGTGGAAGACCCAGCCCTAAGTGGTGAGGCTTGGGAGTGAATGAGGGGAGGAGCCTGGGGTCTTGGTGGGCAGGGCCAGGCCCTGAGTCCCTCTCCGGTTGCCTTGCAGAGCCTCAGGGCCCTGCTGCGGCTGAGCCTGGCACATAGGCACCCGGTCCTGCATCTTCCAGGAGGAAGTGGAGGGGGCATCGCTCTTCCCCAAGAAACTCACTCTGTTCCCACCTTATTTTGTACCCTGCCCCTGACCTGCTAGGGCTGCGGCTTCTGACTTCTAGGAGACTAAGGCTGGTCTTTGCTTGTCCACTTTGTGTTTGCCCACCTTTGGCCGATGCCCAGAGAACCCGGGCACTTGCCGCCTGATGCCTACCCTTGCCAGTCGTTCCTCCACTTTCCCAGTGGGAGGTGGGAGGTGGGATGTGGGACAGTTCACACTGGAAAGCCCGGGAAGCCCTTCACGGTTCTACTCCCAGATCCTCTCCCCTGGGCACAGGAGACCCACAGGGCAGGACCCTAAGATCTGGGGAAAGCAGGCACCGAGAACCGCGGGTGCCCCTCTCCTACCAGGGGTTCTGAGTCACCACCCCCTACCAGGGCCCAGCCTCCCTATTTCAGAACCCTTCTTATCACCCCTGCCTCTTCTGGGTGCTTGGAAGAAGGGCTGGCAAAGGCTGCTTGTTGCGTTTTGTTTGTGCTTTGACGCAGGAATGCTGCTTGGTATACACCCTGGGGGGGGGGGGCGTGGTAGGGGGAGCCAGGTTCTCGTCCGCCAGCCGCTCTGTCCCCTTCCGCTTCTTCCCGGACTCCTGGCCTGAACTCCTCCCCCGCTGTAATAAATCTTTGTAAATAACCGTGCTGAGCCTCCTCTTTCAGGGGCGGGAGGTAGTGGGGTACCCTGATGTGGGAGGAGGGCGGGAAACCAAGGGCCAGGGCCTTGACCCTAACGTCCAGCCGTCCAGGCCGGCAGGCTCGGGGGGTACTCAGAGGAGTTCCAGCTCCTGGAAGAGGGGGAGCCCGGGAGAGGAGTCCAGGAAGAGTAATTGCGCCTCTCCCCCGGGGACCTGTGCCCCACCCCCACACGCCTCGCCTCGGGAACCTCCCCTTTTTCCCACAGTGCCAGGTCTCTGGTTCATCAGTGACGACAGCCCGGGTTCCTTCCCACCTCCCCACCCCTAAGAAGGTCCTCTTAAAACCCGGCTTCAGCCACACGCCCCCACTTCTCGCCCGTTTGGCTAGGACCCGAGGGCTTGGGGCGGGGCTGCCGCCTGCGGTAATTCCTCGTCAGCGCCGGGGGGCGGGCTCAGCGGCGGAAGTGGCGCCGCCGGGAGCTCCCCTTCCGCTCCGAGGCGCTGCCGGGGCCGGGCAGCCGGACTGCGGCCGGGGCAAGAAGAGCTGGGGCCGCGGCTGACATGGAGCAGGTGGGTGCTTCCGTGGACGCTGGGGCCGGGCGGGGGTACGAGGGTCGTCTCTTAGCGGCGGCCCCGCCTTCCTGTCAATGTCCGCTCTGGCTTCGGTCCGACCCTTTCCGTACCCTCCGCGTCCCAGGTTCCGCCCCCTGGCTCTGCTTGGCCTCGCCTGGCCCCGCTTGCTGTTGGCGGTCTCGGGAGCGGACCCTCCGCGGCCCTGTCCACCCGCGAGTGCTCCGGTAGCGCGTCCACGATCGCTTCCCAAAGCCTCTCTCTTGGCTGTGAGGAGAGAGGCGAGGGGACTGCACCTGTATATGGGGCAGGGGTAGGGTCTGGGGGAGGGGTCGTGGCTTGGAATAAGGAGGCGAGTCTGCGTCCCACTGTCGTTTCGATGTGTTCCTAACTTCCTTTGCAAACTGCCGGGAACAACTTCCTGATGATGTCAGAAGGGCCTTTAAAGTGAGTTCCCAGCGGCGGGCGTGTAGCCCCCTCGCCCCTCATTCTTAATGGCCGTCCCCCCTGCCCTCTTTTCTTGCTCCATCTCAACATCTCCTGCTTTTGCCCCGACCGCGGGGTCGGAAGCACCAATTCACGTTCTCCTCCCCTGCCCGACCCCTCCGTGTCCAGCGACTCGTGATGGTCACGCCTACTTCATGCCTGCAGCCTCCCATCAGCTCCACAGCGCACAGCGCAGCGCCTGCCCAGGGCTCCCCTGCCCTCGGCCTCCTCGCCGCCGGTGGACGGCCCTCTTCCCGTGGGGCGAGCTGCCTGCGATTCGGACTAGCCTTGCAGAATCATAGTTCCTGTGCTGCTCCAGCCCGGTCAGAAACCCTGAATTACTTCCGCTGCTCCTCCTCACCTCCCACGCCGAGAGGTGACCTGGTGGTGGACTTGCTGAGTGTCCGTAGTGTGTGTCCGCGTCTCCTCTTGTCCCTTTGTGAATGTGCTTCGCGCCCGGAGACCACACCAGCTCCCCAGCAGCTCCCAGCCTGTGCAGCTCCACACTGTAGCTCCTGTGGTCACTTGCTTGCTTAGAAACCCTGGAGCTGAGTCCCTCACACAGTTTGCAAAGCCCCCTGAGATCTGCCTTTCCCTGCAAACTCCTGTGTGCTCCCCGAGGCCCCACAGCGCGGTCCTGCAGGGCGTGTGCAGTGTCCAGCCTACAGCCTTCCTTCCTGTCTCCATACCTTTACGGCACCAGCACCGCTGCCTGGAAGTGCCTTCTCCTCGTCCTGAGGTGCCCTGCTCAGGCTGCACCGCCTCGGAGCACCTCCTCCTGCCCCCCGGGTCCCCCCAGCACCTAGTTGGTAGTAGCATCGTGGCTAAGGAGACAGACTCCTGAGTCAGACTGCCTGGGTCCTGATACTGTATTATGACTTTGACAAAGTCAGTTTCCTCATTAGTAAAGTACAGATAATAATATGCCTACCTCATAGTCGTCCTGAGGACTGAGTGAGTCATATGTGTACAGGGCTTAGCAGTGCAGAGCCCCTGGGTGTCCAGTAGATACATGTTGCTTATTATGACTTAGAACAGGGTAGCTCACTAATTAAGACTTTTAATTTTTTAAAAGATTTGTTTGTTTATTTGAAAGGCAGAGCTTCAGAGAGAGGAAGACAGAGGGAGATCTTCCATCCACTGGTTCCCACACCCCCCCCCCCCCCAAATGGCTGCAGTGACCAGGCTGGGCCAGGCCAAAGCCAAGCGCTTCTTCTGGATCTCCCACGTGGGTGCAGGGATCCAAAAGACTTGGGCCACCCTCCACTGCTTTTCCCAGGCCATTGGTAGAGAGCTGGATCGGATGTGGAGGATCTGGAACTTGAACCGGCAACCGAATTGGATTGCTGGCACTGCAGGCTGTGGCTTTAACCTGCTGTGCCACAGTGCTGGCCCCAATTTCTTTTTTAAAAGATTTATGCATTTGGAAGCTAGAGTGACACAGAGAGAGAGAGAGAGAGAGAGAGGCAGAGAGAAAAAAATCTTCCATCCGCTGGTTCACTTCCCAAATGGCTACAACAGCCAGGGCTGGGCCAGGCCGAAGCCAGGAGCCAGGAGCTTCATCCAAGTCTCCCATGTGGGTGGCAGGGGCCCCAGCGCTTGAGCCATCCTCTGCTCTTCCCAGCAGAGAGCTGGGTTAGAATCAGTGCAACTAGAACTCCAACCAGCACTCTGCGCTGTGGGTTGCCAGCATTGCAGGCAGTAGTTTAACCTGCTGTGCCGCAATGCCAGCCCAGGATTTTTAATTTCTTAAACTGCTTGAGGACAGCTCATGTGGCTTCTCATTCTGCCCCCAGAGCCCTACAGCCTGACTCTTTGTCGTTAAATAAAGTGCAGAGGCAAGGGCACTGGGACCGGAACTGGACTTACCAAGTGAGGATTCAGAGGTGGAAAAGACCAGAGACCTGGTATTCGGGTGCTCAGGAGAACAGATCTGGACGTGCGCAGGTGTCACATGGCTCTGGGAGCCGAGGGAGAGAAAGGCCAGGGACAGCTTCGCAGAGGAGAGGCGGTGTGGGCCTCAAAAGGAGTGGGTAAGTTTACCAGCGGGAGGCAGAGGCTGGAGTGGGCCGAGATGGAGAGCTGGGTCCTCTGAACAGAGTTCCAGTGAGGGGTCAGCTGGGAGCACGCCCTGGGGTGCCCTGGAGGCCTGGCCCCTGGTGTCCTGGGTAGGGTCGCTGTGTGCCTTTGGGTTGGGGCGTGTGTTTGTGCTCTTTGGCCTGCGTGCAGTGCCCTTCACCTTTGTCTCCAGCTGACAGCTGTGGATTCTTCACAGCCTGGCTCAGACGGCCCCTCCTCCTGAGGCTTTCCTGACCTCAGCGACTCCAGCCTGGCCCTGATGCCCCCTCCCTGTTCCGGGAGCCCCCAGCTCCCTGAAGCACTGATCCCGGCGTGGGCGCTGTGTTTTATTGCCTCTCCCTCTTCCTCACGAAGCCAGAGCCCCTGATGGACCAGAACAGGGTCCTGTGGCCCCCAGGCTAGCAGTCTGTAGTTCTCAGTACTTCTGTGTTGCGTGAAACTAAGGTCTTTCTCACCTGGACTTGTGGGTGGGGGGAGGGTACTGTGGGTAAGACCGAAAGTGCTGCCCGTTCGGCGGCTCAGACTTGTTCCGTTCAGTGGCAAAGCTTGTTGACTCCATCTCACAGAGGAGGAAGTTGAGGTACAGTGGCAGTAAGGTCAAGGCCACCCAGCAGAGGTTTAAAGAAGGATCTCCTGGCTCTAGGCCCACAGCTGCTTTCCAGAAACTGTCTCAGGGCCCCAGCCCGCAAGGAGGCAGCTGCCACATCACTGGGACAGAGGGCCAAGAAGGCGGCCCCCTGCAGTTGCGTGTCCCTCTGAACCCTTTCTGGCTCTTGTCTGGCCAGGGCTGGTGCTGGGAGCGTCCGAGGAAGTGCCCACATCCCTGGAGACTTCTCAGTGAAAAAGCTTCCAGGTCTCTCCTAGGAGACAGCTGGCCCTTTCCAGACTGACCTTGGAAACTCGACCCCATCAGTCCAGGGGTTACTTAGTGGCACCGAAGGCTGGGGTAGTGACTCACAGGGCCCCGAGCAGACCAGGTCTCACGGAATCCCAGAGCTGGGGCGTCCCTGCGGCGTCCCTGCCATTTAACAGGGCCTGGGCCTGAGGAATGGTCAGGCGGGCTGATGAATCCCCGTTAGGGTTTACTAGTAAACTCAACGCCAGAAGGAGCCTCTGGTGCGAATCTCATCTTGGTTTCCACTTCCCCAGAAGGAAAGGAGAAGGGGAAGAAGAAGGCCGTGGCTTGGAGCTCTCATTTGTCATTGTGGCCATGCTCTCCCACCGTGGGGCTCCCACTTCTCCAAGAACTGCCCAGACTCCCTGTGGGGAGAGTGGGTGGGGCCAGTAAGCCAAGGCTGAGGACAGGGCCCCCGAAACCCAACGCGTTCTGTCTTGGGCCGGCTTCGTGAGGCCCTCTGCAAGTTGGGGTGCGGGGAAGGGGATGGAAACAGCTCCCTGATTTGATGGTGCCCAGTAAGCCGGTTGCTCTGGCCTCTTTGGGACCAGGGCCTGGGCAGGGCAAGACACCAGCAAGGGTGGAGTCTAGCTCCAGGAGGGGTGGTCTGGCCAGAGAGGGGCTACTCCTGGCCTGGGTGTGAGCAGCCTCATGTGAACCGCTGTGGAGCGCATTTCCTGAATATCTTGCGTGAGCCTGGGGACGCAGTGTGCTGGGGGTGGGGGTGCGGTTGGGTGTCTGGGAAGTCCCTGTCTCAAGCTTTGTCTCCCAGTGGGAGAGGAGGACGGTAGGCAGACGGGTGCATCGGAGGTGACCAGTGCTCTGGAGAGTAAGGCAGGGTGAGGCGGGGAAGATGGGGCTCCTAGGGGCTGTGGGAGAAGTCTCTCCAAAGGGACATCTGCGTAGAGAGCGGAGAGGAGTGGGGAGTGAGCAATGCAAAGCTCCAGGAGGGCCCACGATGCCAGGGCCAGGCCAGGCTGAAGCCAGGAACCCTGAACTCCATCCAGGTCTCCCGGCGGGTGGCAGAGGCCCAATTCCTCAGGCTGTCTTTTGCTGCTTTCCAGGGCGCATTAGCAGGAGGCTGGCCTGGAAGCAGAGTAACTGGGATTCAACCAGCATCTAATATGGGCATCCCAAGCAGCAAATGAACCCACTGCCCGGCCCCTCTGTTGACTGGTAACAGCATCCTGGCTGCCGTGCTGAGAATAGACTTGGGATGAGGAGGAAGCGGAGGGCAGGAAGCTGTAGCTGGTGAGAGGCAGTAGCTTGGCTGTAGCTGGGTGGCAACACTTCCTGGCCAGGAAACAACAGGATTTGCTGATGGTTTGATGTGGAAGGGCGGGCTCTTGGCTGGCTGGGTTCTGACACCGCCCCGCAGCCAGCAGGGGTTCTGGGGCGGCTCTGATTGTGCTCAGCAGTTCCCAGCCTGGCGCAGGGAAAGCCCACGTGCCTGTGGGGTCAGCTCCGCCCTCCCCGGCTAGGCTGGGGGGATAAGGGAGGTCCCTCAGAGCTGTGATGGAGTCCTCCCCACAGCTTCCGG